ACACACACACACACAAACACACACAAACACACACACACACACACATAAAAACACACACACACCAGTGGAGTTCGGCTTTAAAACACACTTAATATACTGACACCATTTTTCTAGCAATTACTTTCCACATTTTTTTTGTATAGCAGTTTGTGTTTGGTGTGCAGTAGTTGACTGCATGACTACTGACTCGTTTGTGCTCGTTTTATCATCTGAGATTGTAACTGACAAGCTTCATGAGGAGGTGAGCAATGAAAGAGCCGCTCTGAGCAGCGAGACTGTGGTAACGATGAGCGTCTTCACAGCACTAACGCCCAGAATCCCCTCGTTAGGCTGTTTGTCAGCGGGGGGACGTTACCTCATGCTCTCCTTCCTGTGAACCGTCACGAACATCTCATAGACGCGGCCCTGAGGAATGGCCCCCGCTGGCACCAGCAAGCTCACGCCTGTGGAGACAAACACACACACACCGTCAGTCTGCCAGCCGGTGACCTCTGTGACCCGCGTGTGTCACACACTCCAGTACTCAGAGCTAAAGCCCCATCATCAGACTCTCACACGCGAGTGTTTTGCAGTGCACGGCTGATTAATTCCTCCAGTCTCACTGACGCTCATTGATTTCTCGTGTCCTTCACCTGAACTTCCCTTCGAGCGACCGTCACTCACCAACAACCCAGAAGAAACGCAGCGGCACTCACACACACTTCATGTTCCTGCTCTTATTGGCAACCATTCGTCAGTGCATGCTATTTTTTTAAATTAATTTTCCTTTATTACAAGTGATGAGTGCAATAATAACATGTCAGCAACAAACTAAACCAACAAACAAGTAAAATATAGTAATAATAAAATACATTTTAGATCACTTAATTAAATAATAATAATAAGATGTATTATATATAATAATATATAATAATAAAAAATTATAAAATATAAAATAAATAAATTCCACATAATAATAATATATTCTAGATCACTTAACTAAATAATAATAATAAAATGTATTATATATATATATATATATAATACATTTATATTAAATATGAATAAATAAAAAATTATATAAAATAAAATAAATAAATTCCACATAATAATAATACATTCTAGATCACTTATCTAAATAATAACAATACAATTTATTATATATATATATATAATACATTTATATTAAATATGAAAATATATATATATACAATAAATTCCACATAATAATAATAATAATACATTCTAGATCACTTATCTAAATAAAATGTATATATATATATACTTACACTTACTCATACAGAATTACAACTTCTAAAATATGTGTATTAAAGACTCCTTCCAGTTTTGATATAAAACCAGAGCTTTGAATAATTTGTTTTTCCACAAAATGACATTGTTACCTTAAAATCCTTAAGATGGCATCTACTTCCAGCTAAAATAAAATACATATTTTACAGTGTCCTTGTTAAGTCTTTACAAACATTATAATAAACACTATCTTTATTTTATAAATATGATAAAACTAAAGACTTTTTGGAGATATGAAGGATGCAGTACTACTCTATAGGCACTCAAGATCAACATGAGATTGGGTGAAACTGTGTGTTATCTCCCCTTTACCTGTGCGCGCATGCGGCGCCGGCGCAATCATTACTCGGCGCAAGAAACTACTCCTTTTAGTCCTAAAGATAATCAGAATTGTAAAAGGTTTGCCTTTACTTGTGTACATTCACAATAAAAACAAATCTTTGTGCTTTTGTAAAATAAGCCTAAAGAAAAATAGGATGCCGCTTTCTGCCGTCTTGGTTTCCTTTCGCGCAGCACAAAAATGAACCGAAGCTCTGCATATAGGCTACCTGTTACAGTTTTTCTTTCATTTTCTTAATTTATTATTTAAGTAAAAATATGTTTCTCGTATAGGCTTATTTATTCGTTATATAGGCTACAGGCTACCGCTCGCAGAAGCGCTGCAGGTGCGTATATGATGGCCATGTGAATCCTCATGTTCTGTTGTTTGCTGCTTTTTGCGCGTGTAAAATTAATCCCCGGGAAACAAATGTTAGTATTTTTTAACAGGTCACAGACACTTTTCCTTTCTAATTTAATTCAATTGTTGATTAGCGGTTAGCAATCGGTTAACGAGCGTCAGTTGTCGGTTAGGAAAAATAACCGAAATGAACATCCCTACTTTAAACACTGCTTCTGGCTAATTTATGAGCTGCGCTGCTCTCGCGGGAGCCGTAAAGCTCAGCAGAAGCGTTCAGTGAGACGCAGAGATCCATAGCAAAGTAAATGCTGTGCTAATATGGGTGAATATGAATTTCATGCTTCTTAAAAGACTCATATGATGTTTTAAAATAAGAATTTGATGCCCAGAGCTCAGAGATTCTCTCCAGTCGATCCAGAGCATTTACTGAAACTGAGCTGCAAAATTCATAAACATGAGCTCATTAACATATGACCGCCCACATTTACATAACATGTTAGATGAAAAACCTTAAACTTTAAAATTAGATATGCTAACTGAAACAAAAGTGTAAAAACTGGAAAGTAAACCTAAAAAAGCCATATTTAAAAAACAAAAAATAATAAATATGACAAAATTACAAAACAAAATTGCTGTAACAAACTAAATTTAAATAAAATTAGATTAATATTAATATATTCATATGTATAAAATACTACAATAGTATATAAATAACATTTATAATAAAACAAACTATTAAAAATATTTTTGTTAACTGAAATAAAGTTGAAATATAATATAAATATTAGAATATTAAATAAATAACTTCCCCAAAACCCTCCAGGTCAAAAGGACTTTTTTTTTTAAAAAGATAGGCTTTTTATTTCGTCCATCCGATATATATCGTCATATCGCACAGCCCTACCTTAAAAGTATTTTTCCTGTTTTTAACTGACCTGAGTTGGGCACGATCAGATGGCCCCCGAGGGTGTTGAAGGAGCCGAAGGCGGTGCACGAGGGGTCCCAGGAGCGCAGCAGTGTCTGTGTGCGGCGGCTGATGGTGTCGCTGTCGATCAGCGTGTGCGAGAGCTTGGAGGAGATGTCGGACAAGTCCTCCTGCGGCGTCACCAGACCGGACGAGTTGTACACCTTGATCTTCAGGTTGGGCAGAGGGTCCAGCAGGGGAGAGTTGGTCATGGGGATCTTATCAGCGACGTCGTGCAGAGCGTAAACGGGACCTCTGTACATGGCAGCAGCCGAGGTCAGGTCCGGAGGAGCCGTCAGCAGATCCGCTACACACACAAATACAATTCAGATACAGATCAAATACAGTTTATAGAATGGAGAGTTCCGGTGCTTGATTCTGATTGGCTGAGCCGCGTTCGAAGCTGTTGTAAATGACGCTACAAACACACCTTTGTGTGTTGCTCGGCAAACACTTGGTTGGAACCACAACTGTTTCTGAGGAGCTACATTGTTTGGTGGAAGAATACTGTGTTTATTAATATCATTACACTTTATTTGCTCTGTTTTATTTTGTGAAACCTTACTACGTATATGGAATAACCGTTTTATAAAAGCAATAAGCAATAAACAGCTAAAACTAATAAAGTTCAAATAAAATAAAATCTAAATGTTCGATGAAAAACGTTAAACTTTAAAATTAGATGTGTTAACTGAAAAAGTGTAAGCAGTAAAATGACTGACTGGAAAGCAAACATAAAAAGCAGAATTTAACAAAAAAAAAAAGAATAAATATGACAAATAAATAAAATCAACAATTAAATAAAAGCTCATTCAAAAATTATAGAATTAATTTATTCATATTGATGAACTACTATAAAAAGTATATTAATACTGAAACTAAAATGACACACCTTTGTTTACGTCTGTGTGTTGCTCGGCAACCACTTGGTTGGAACCACAACTGTTTCTGAGGAGCTACATTGTTTGGTGGAAGAATACTGTGTTTATTAATATCATTACACTTTATTTGCTCTGTTTTATTTTGTGAAACCTTACTACGTATATGGAATAACCGTTTTATAAAAGCAATAAGCAATAAACAGCTAAAACTAATAAAGTTCAAATAAAATAAAATCTAAATGTTCGATGAAAAACGTTAAACTTTAAAATTAGATGTGTTAACTGAAAAAGTGTAAGCAGTAAAATGACTGACTGGAAAGCAAACATAAAAAGCAGAATTTAACAAAAAAAAAAAGAATAAATATGACAAATAAATAAAATCAACAATTAAATAAAAGCTCATTCAAAAATTATAGAATTAATTTATTCATATTGATGAACTACTATAAAAAGTATATTAATACTGAAACTAAAATGAAAATTTAAAAAAAAAATTTAAAAGATGTAAAGAAGAGTTTAAGCTGGAAATAAATAAAAACAGAAATAAACTTAAATAGTGATACTTAAAAAAAAAAAAGGAAGACAAAAGCACATAAAAAATTAATATAATGCAAGCTAAAATTAAAATTAAAATCGAAACAATAAAAATAAATTATATTAATATTAATAAAATACTACAATAGTATATAAATAATATTTATAATAAAACAAACTATTAAACATATTTTAGTTAATTTAAATAAAGCTGAAATAAAATATAAATATTAGAATATTAATTAAAACTTCTTAACTTTTAACAGTAGAATTAAAAAACACCTTCCACTAATTAACACTCAATGTGCCAGACACACGCAGCTAATTACAGCGTCAGGATAACTTGCAGATCGGCTTCACATCAAGGTGACAGGCTTTCTAATGACGTGTCTGCAGAAACGCCACACGGCTTTGTGCTCCTGTGCTGAACCATGAGACTCTGACACACATCAATTCCGTCATTACATAAATGATAAAACTCCATCATTACACTGACACACAAAGAGAAGTGCCATCAGTCCACTGACAACAGAGCGCTGCGACTAGTGATGATAAAAGGCCATATGTAATGATAAAAGGGAGTGACAGATCATTTTTCACTGGAATATGTAGTAATGTTCACAACTGCTTTTTAACGTTTTTGAAATAAGTCTCTCACAATAGTATATAAATAATATTTATAATAAAACAAACTATTAAAAATATTTTAGTTAATTTAAATAAAGCTGAAATAAAATATAAATATTAGAATATTAATTAAAACTTCTTAACTTTTAACAGTAGAATTACTGTTAGAATTAAAACAAACGAACCCTAAAGAGTAAGACAAAAAGCACATGACAAAAGAACTGTACAAAACTAAATTTAAAATGCGAACTGAAAATAAAAACACAAAAATCTATTAATATTAATATATCAATCTGAATAAAAAAAATTAAACATTGTATAATTGTATAAATTATATAATAGCTTTTTAAAAATTAATTAATTAATTAACATTGATAAAGACTATAATAGTGTGTTAACTATACTAACATAACACTGGTGTGATGAGACACATTGTTAGTTTGGTTTCTATTGTTTGCTGCTAAAGTTGTTTGTGCAAACTGATTAGCACATGATGAGAAAGCATCGGAGGTAAATCTAGTGGCTAATATTTATTTGCGGCGTGATGAAGCGCTTCTCCCTGAAGAGCACCGTATATTCAGGGCCGAACAAAGTCATCATTAGTCTTTTTCCTCGTTAGTCTCTCTCTCTCTGAGGGCAGCGGATGGAGAGCAGATGCTGCTGTGCCCTTCACAGGTACACTGATGAATATTCATGAGCGAGCCGCGAGTGGGCGGGGCCTCCTGACTCTTTCACTGTTAATCTGACAGCGCAAACGAGTCACAAATCTGTCATCATTTACTCACTTTCATGTCATAATAAATATATTTTTGAAGAATTATCAATGTTGAAAACAGTCGTGCTGCACAATATTTCTGTGGAAACTGTGATGCATTTTATTTTTCAGGATTATAACATTATAAATGTCTCTACTGTCACTTCTGATCGATTTAATGCAGCCCTGATGAATAAAAGTATTACAAATTTGTGTTTTAATTTTATTATTATTGATTAAATTAGTATTTTGTCTGTAAAAAAAATACTGTTCTATGAATACAAAAATGACTAATAATAATAATTTGACTAGTTGGATGACTACTTAGATTATTATTATTTAATATGTAAACACTAATGTTCTATAAATATAAATAATAATAATTAGACTACTACTACTACTACTAATAATAATAAATTGACTACTTGAATGACTATTTATATAATTATTAGTATTATTGGTCAAATTAATATTTTTTTATATGTAAACACTACCGTTCTGTAAACACAAAAAACTATAATTTCAACTAATAATAATAATAATTAATTGACTAGTTGGATGACTAGTGACTTATGTCTCTTCTTTACAATCTCAAAAGACCATTTCTAGCCAATGAAATTAATTTAAACTTATTAATTTAAGCAAAACTACCAAAAAGCAAATCGCATTCACTACGACTAGGGTTGGGTATCGTTTAAATTTGATCGATTCCAATAATGTAGTATAATATGTGTGTCCCTGCAGCACAAAAGCTTCATGTCATAATAAATATATTTTTGAAGAACATTGGACCCCATTCACTTTCATTATATGGACAATTTTTTTTTTTACTCAGATGTCATTTTAGTATCATTGAGATACTATTATAGTTTTTATTAATATTTTAAGTTTTAGTAGTTTTCATTTTTTTATATTTTTTATATTAGATAAAGTTTCAGTAATTTTTCTTATATTTTGCCATTTTTGAAAAGTATGTTTATATAGATTTTTATCAATTTTTATTTTAGTAGATCAAATCATTTTCAACTAAGTGAAATAAAAAAAACATTTTTTATTTTATTTCACGATTTTTATTACCATTTCAATTTATTTTTGGTTTTAGGTTTTATTAACTATAATAAACCTGGAAAAAGAAAGTCATACATTGCCATTTTTTAAACATGTCTATATAGTTTGTATTAATTTTTTTATTTCAGTTTTATTTATTTTAGTAGATTAACTCAATACTAAATGAAAAAGAGAAACGTTGCTATGGAAACTAACTGAAATAATTTTATTTCAGGTTTGTATTTAGATTTATTATAACTATTACTATTATTATTTTTATTTAAAAAATGCGTTGTATGGTTTTAGTTTTAGTTAACCATAATAACCCTGGAAGAAGAAAGTCATACGGGTTTGGAACGACATTTTTGTGTGAACTCTCCCTTTAAATTATTGTTTTAAATAATTAAATTTAAAACATATATATATATTTTTTTTTTTACCTGCATGTCATGTGATCATTAACCAACATCAAAGAACCGTAAATATGCAGACGTGTTGTTACGTTACTGAATTTTTATCTTAAAGAAATATTTGAGCTCAGAGGGTTTGGATGGACATGTTTTCTAAACTGATCCTTGCTGTAGTCTTTGCCTCTTGGTCATTATATAGTCTGTGTGTGTCAACGCTGAGTCTCTCCAGCCTAATTTCCGGTTGCGGCTCGTTCTTCATTTTTTTGCACCCTCAGATTCCAGATTTTCAAATGTTTTTTCAAAAATTTCAAATGATTTTCAGCTTTTATATGATGTATAAATCTCAATTTCGAAAATGGACCCTTATGACTGGTTTTGTGCTCTATGGTCACATATATATATATATATATATATATAGTCAAACATTCAGATGTCAAACATCTTTATTCTGTGACTTTTTACAAAGCGTTCTGTTGCGGCTGAATGACACGAGGAAAAATCAGCAGCCTGCAGGACACTTAGGCCTTCGAGAGATTTAACAAAAATACCACAGCAAAACAACTACACTATTATTAATTTCAAACATTAAATTGTTAAAGACAAGTAAACAGTCAGTAATAAAACAGGAACACACAAATCAATCAGCAACAGCATATATAAACACAACTGAACGAATTTCAGGTACAGAAATTTAAATCAAAATTTAAAACCACTGCATCGTGTTCTTTTCATAAATAAAATATGGATTAACCCTCATTCAAATTACCAAGATATCAGTGAATGATTCTGTTCTTTGATTAACTTGTTTATTAGGCTACTGTCTCTTTAAGACCGAAAATACTGATACACATGCGTTTCCTTTCTCATCTGTTTCCGCTCACTGAAGACACTGAAGGTTCTCGATCCCCAACCCTAACTATGAGCCAGGCCTGGAGTAACACGAAAAAGAGAAACGTTGCTATGGAAACTAACTGAAATAATTTTATTTCAGGTTTGTATTTAGATTTATTATAACTATTACTATTATTATTTTTATTTAAAAAATGCGTTGTATGGTTTTAGTTTTAGTTAACCATAATAACCCTGGAAGAAGAAAGTCATACGGGTTTGGAACGACATTTTTGTGTGAACTCTCCCTTTAAATTATTGTTTTAAATAATTAAATTTAAAACATATATATATATTTTTTTTTTTACCTGCATGTCATGTGATCATTAACCAACATCAAAGAACCGTAAATATGCAGACGTGTTGTTACGTTACTGAATTTTTATCTTAAAGAAATATTTGAGCTCAGAGGGTTTGGATGGACATGTTTTCTAAACTGATCCTTGCTGTAGTCTTTGCCTCTTGGTCATTATATAGTCTGTGTGTGTCAACGCTGAGTCTCTCCAGCCTAATTTCCGGTTGCGGCTCGTTCTTCTGTTTACACGCTGCTGCTGTAACACCTTCCACTAATTAACACTCAATGTGCCAGACACACGCAGCTAATTACAGCGTCAGGATAACTTGCAGATCGGCTTCACATCAAGGTGACAGGCTTTCTAATGACGTGTCTGCAGAAACGCCACACGGCTTTGTGCTCCTGTGCTGAACCATGAGACTCTGACACACATCAATTCTAACTTGTTTATTAGGCTACTGTCTCTTTAAGACCGAAAATACTGATACACATGCGTTTCCTTTCTCATCTGTTTCCGCTCACTGAAGACACTGAAGGTTCTCGATCCCCAACCCTAACTATGAGCCAGGCCTGGAGTAACACGAGTAAGATCCCGCTCTCGTACCTGTGCGCGCCGTCTTGATGTTGACCGGCTGGAAGCCTCCGTTGAGTGCCGACGAGTCCATGATGTCCGAGTCGAAGTCTCGGTGGTTCTTCCGGTAGACGAACAGCGCCACGATGACGGAAATGACCAAACACATGATGACGGCGATGACGATGCCCACGTATAGAGCCACGTCGTCTGTGCTGGGGGCCGCTGGAGAAGGACACAGACGGAGAGAGCATCAGTCTCACGACTTCTGATGTTTTAAAAGTCGACTTTTATGTGATGAAAGTCGAGTTGAAGTCGACTAGTCGCTGATGACGTCATTAATGAACAAATAAGTCTGGAGCTGAGACTCAAAACACCTTGTGCACAGCTATGGCATATGACACAGCGCTGCTCACACGGCTATAACAGCTCATTTTTCTCAGTTCTTTTGTCTTTGTGTCGTTATGTTTCTCACAGATTTCTGCTCGTTCTAAATCAGATACAGATAAAGCAGCACAGTAACGATTACATTCATATGAATGCATTAGTGAGAGCGATTGCGTGTGTGAATTAATTCTACCTGGCAGCGTCTCTCTACTAGTAGTGAAGCTGTGGGATTTAGTTATTAAGAAATATATGCTTGAACTTTTCAGTTTCTAAGCTATTTTATTGAGAAATCGCAGAACAGTGTTGAGAATACATTTCCGCACTGAATGATTCTGTGCGCGTGACGTACGAGCTACTGTCTGTAGCCTATGTGTGTGCGTTACAGTGCAGCAGCGCATTATTAGATTAGAACGGCGATTAATTTACCTGTACAATAAGCTGTTTAAAACATGCATTCTCCCATTCACTGTCGAGCATCCAGTAATATAATCACACGTCTTGTGGAGCGCTTTCAGAGTATGCATTTATTTGTAATTTGAACTGTTTGCAAACTGAGCGTAAATGTGGAAGTCCTTCAAAGATTTCTTATCCTGTTGCGCCCTCTATAGGACCAGCGACTAGTCGACGTCAAGCTTAAAGTGTCATGGCAGAGCATTGAAGTCGACTAGTCGGTGCAACCCCTACTGTATGGTGACGTATTGTAAAAGTGCTGAGGAGACTGCTAGGATCTACTGCTGATGGGGAACAGGACAGCATGTGGTTTGAATATCAAACTAAAACTTAACCAGAACGTTTAGATCCCACATCAGATCATCTACAACAGCGTCTCGTCCAATCACTGAATCCGAATCTGCTTTATAACATGAGTCTGACTGTTTTGAGTCTTTCATTATGTGAAGCTTTCGCACTGATGTCAGACCGATTCATTCATTTAATATGAATCACACATGAATCATCATATCTTCTGTCCACCAAGATCCGAATAAAAAGAGAAAATACCAAGTATTTTATTCACCGAGTCATATTTGCTGTATGAATCACATTTAAATTTGTTGGAAATTCAACTAAATAAAATTATAATTAACAGTATTATTTATTTTTGTCTGGAAATTCAACAAAAATTTAATCATCATATCTTCTGTCCACCAAGATCCGAATAAAAAGAGAAAATACCAAGTATTTTATTCACCGAGTCATATTTGCTGTATGAATCACATTTAAATTTGTTGGAAATTCAACTAAATAAAATTATAATTAACAGTATTATTTATTTTTGTCTGGAAATTCAACAAAAAAATTTTTTTATTAATAATACAATTATATTTATCTATTTATAATTTGTACAAACTACATTTATATTTTTATATTTGCTGGAAAGTCAAACAAAAACGAATTATTAATATTAAAATGAATTATTATTATTAATATTAATTCAACATATAAATCGTGTTTATTATTGCTGGAAATTGAACAAAATAAAATGTATAATAATTTATAATAAAAAATAATGAATAATGTATATTTTGTTGTTGAATTCCCACTATACAGTAGGAATTCAACAAAATAAAAATGATGTAAAATGACTCGTATCGTAATATAAGGTTTGTCACACCGCACAGAAACATTACAAGAGTTTGTGAAATTATGTTACATATACTGTAAGTCCAATTAATACACGGGATGAGAAAGATAATGAGACAGATCATAGATACGGTCACAAAACAGAGAGGAATAAACAGCACTGAAGCAGATCTGAGTCTGTGAGAATATACGTAAAACATCGACCCTTCGTTACGGACCACGTCTAGAAATCAGAAATCATGCTGTCACTCCTCACGGCTCTTTCCGTCTTGAAAACGTCCCCGTGATTATGTGGAACGGAAACGGGCCTGTGCAGCATTTGACAAGCCGTCATTAGAAGCAATACTTTGCCCTCATTTCCATTGAAACGGTCCCTTTGTCCCGCCGATAATTGTGAAAAATGCAATTTCCGGTCAAAGCAGTGGCGAGTGTGAAACGGGCCTCCGGTGAACCGGACCGGTTAAACCAATGCATGTTCCTAATTCTCTCATTTGCACTCGTATTGAACTCTCTGAGAGCCAAACACTGGATGTGAGTCACAGATGGACTGAAACTGCACTGTGATTCTCACATCCAGCAGCAGAGGGCGCTCTCAGCCATCACTACATGCAACCCACGCATTAACCCTCACTGACTCGGTCCAGAACTGCATTCTATTTGTGGACCATTTCACACTACTGTATGTGTGTGTTTCTGTATGCTTTCTCTCATTGATTCCTTCTGATCAAAGGCTAGTTTTCCAGTAAAATACATAAAAATAATACTCAAAACAAAATAAATTGACTTGAAAAGCAACACTACTTAGTTTTTTAAAGAGGAATGTATCTTTAATGCGAGTGTATTTTGTCTTACTGCACTGATTTTTTTCAAGTCAAGTATAAAAATGTTAAAATAAGCGATAATAAGTGAGAAGTCTACCGGTGCAGTGAGACAAAACTGACTTATATTCAAGAAATGTCAGAAACAAGTTAATATTTATGCAGGGTTGCTTCTGAGCGAAACCTACGTGTTTTTTAGGATTTGTAGATATTTTAACTCTTATTTTTAACTTAATATATGACTAGAAAAAAAAATGGTAAAGGATTTACTTTGAAAAAAAATCACTCAAGACATTGCTAACAAATTTCACATATAATTAACTACATAGAAACAGCAAGTCACAACAGGTTTATTATAGCTAACTAAAACGTTTCTGCTACTTGAAATAAAATAAGCATTAACTGAAATAAAATTAATTTTTTTAATTATTTTTGTATTTAGTACTAAAATAACTAAAGGTAAAACTGAAATAAAAATGCATATATATATATATATATATATATATATACACACACACACACACTAAAATAAGACTAAGTAACATATTGAATTAATTTTTTTAAGTAGAAATAATGTATTTTCTTGTAAAACATACTCCAATAATCTATTTACAACTTCAATAAATTTTTTTAAGTGGACTAATTTAGAAAGTTTTGTTTTATTTTTTATTTATTTATTTTTTTGCCGTTCACACAATGTTTTGTCCTGAGCTGGAATGCGATATGAAAGCATGCGCCCTCAGTAGGCGTCAGTGCAGAGTGTGCAGTGTGCAGTCAGTGTTTGTGCTGATGATATAAAGTGTCTACTCTATTATGTCTATTGGTTTCTGAGCGAACCGTAATAACCTGCAGTGCTTAAAGAGAGCGAGCTTTCATTCAGATGAACCTGCAGCTCTCACGCTAGTGGACTTCCGTTGATTAAACGTGTGAGAGAGTGAGTGTGTGTGTGTGTGGCCGTCCTGTGAATCTGGACACTGTGAGTGTGATCACACATGTGTGTGTGTGTGTGTGTGTGTGTGTGTGTTTGCATGCCTGCAGCTGCTGCAAATTTAAAGGTAGCCGCAATCAATGTCACGATCAGCGGCCCCTCGCGGAGTTTAATCACTGTGACATTATGAATTAATCTCACTAATGTGAACGCTGCCCTCTAAAAGCAGACGCTCTGACATCGGAGGAGCTTTACATGTGAACACGCAAGCGCTGAGAGACGGGGAAAACCCAACTGAGATTTCTCAGATAAATACTGCGGTTAGGGTTGAAAATGTGATTTAAAAAAGCTCCAGGTTTGCTGTGCTTGTTTGTTTGGCCAACAATTGTGTGATTATATATTGATGTGATTATAAATAATAATTATTATTATATAAAGATATTTAAAACATAAGAAATACTAAATTATTACTATTGCAATATTTCACTGTAAAATAAAAGGCAAGTATTTAAGAAAAACAATATTACATTATTGTAATTTTTTATTGTTATTTATTTACAATATTACATTATTATTTACTATTATTATTATTGTTATGATTATATTGAATATTATTATATAATAAATTAATATTATTTCTAAAAGTGATATTTATTATTATTATTATATGAATATAAGAAAATAAATAAGTAATAAGAAAAATAAGAAATATTCAAATATTACTATTGTAATATTTCACTGTAAAATAAAAAACAAGTATTTAATAATAATAATAATTATTATTATTACTAAATAAAATATTAAACAAGAAATTACTATTGTGATATTTCACTGTGAAATAAAAAGCAAGTATTTAAGAAAAACAATTATATTATTACTATTATTATTATAAATATTACTACTTCTAATATTTATATTTATTCTATATTTATACTTTTATTATTGTTATATACAAATATATGTATATTTATTTTTTATTTATAAATATTTAATAACCAAAATAAGTAATATTACCATAATTATTATTTTGCAGTACAACAGTAAAACTACAATACTAATATTTACTTGTATTTATTTACTCTTTTGTTGACAACAGCCTGTTTATAAGTGCTCCTCATTACAAATTTGGGAGGAATTTTGGCGCATGTTCCCAAATGCATGTTATAAGTGACACAAACTCCTTCACGAAAGCAGATGTTCAGCAGCATCTTCACAGTCATACATTAAAATGAGAAATGTTTCCTTGGCAACTAGCTGAAATGCTACATTTTTATATTTTCAGTTAATGTTTATTTAGTTTAGTTACACTGTTATTTTAGGATTGTTTATATTTTTGAGATATTTATTTTGTTTCGAGAATTATTTTCTGTTCCTGGTCAGTCAGCTGTCATGGATACTCCCTCGTTTCTCTTCTGTATTATTCATAAACTTCCATCATTACGCTCATATGCCGCTATCTTTAACAAAGACATCAGGCTAAACGATGACTCTCTACAGGAGCATAAAGCCGCTCATATTCCGGCCCGTATGGACGCAGCCAATCGAGCAGAGTGAAGAAAGTCTGACGATATCATCTAAGTGTGCATCTCTTCTGTCCGGCGCTCGTGCTTTGATGATAAAGTGGCACACTCAGCGGGGCGAGCGTTAAAAAATAACGCTGAGATTAATACGTTTCTTTGAACGTGAAGGACTGTAGGTAGAAGAGCGAGTGAGAGAGAGAGCGAGAGAGAGAGAGAGGCAGAGGGAGAGGGAGAGAGAGAGAGAAAGAGAGAGGGAGAGGGAGAGGGAGAGGGAGGAAAACAGGGTGGAAATGAAAAGCATTATTGAGCGGTTGAGCTGGAGAGACGAGCGAGAGACATTTCCTCAGCCGGAGATCACAGCAGCCATGTGTGAAAGAGACGCCCAGGGCTTCAGGGGCCGAGAAGAGCCACTCCACACCACCACACACACACACACACACACACACACACACATACACACACACACACACACACACGCACACACACACACACACGCACACGCACACGCACACGCACACGCACACGCACACGCACACGCACACGCACACGCACACGCACACGCACACGCACACGCACACGCACACGCACACGCACACGCACACGCACACGCACACGCACACGCACACGCACACGCACACGCACACGCACACGCACACGCACACGCACACGCACACGCACACGCACACGCACACGCACACGCACACGCACACGCACACGCACACGCACACGCACACGCACACGCACACGCACACGCACACGCACACGCACACGCACACGCACACGCACACGCACACGCACACGCACACGCACACGCACACGCACACGCACACGCACACGCACACGCACACGCACACGCACACACGCACACGCACGCGCACACGCACACACGCACACGCACACGCACACACAGACACACGCACGCACAGACTCACACACAGACACACACGCACAGACACACACACACACAAACTCACACACACAAACTCACACACACACACACACACAAACACACAGACTCACACACACACGCACACACACACAGACTCACACACACACTCAGAGACTCACACACACTCAATCACACACACACTCTCTCTCTCACGCACGCGCACACACACACACATACACACACTCTCTCACTCACACACACACACACACACACACACACAGACTCACACACACACGCACACACACACAGACTCACACACACACGCACACACACACAGACTCACACACACACGCACACACACACAGACTCACACACACACGCACACACACACAGACTCACACACACACACACACACACACACAAAACCATTCCAAAACCAGCAAAACAGACCAGACCGGGTGACCAAATCATTGTAGATTAGACAGTTTAGAGTGGTTAGATGGACTCCAAGGCCTGATGCAAGCAAAACAGACCAGACTAGACAGTCTAAGGTGGTTTGCTTGCCTAGTCTGGTCTGTTTTGCTGTTTTTAGAGGGGTTTTGGGCTTGTAGCAAGCCTGGGAGACCATCTAAACCAGCTTAGACCAGCTGAGACCAGCAAAACAGACAAAAAAATGTCTAAGCTGGACCGTCTAAGCCAGTTCAGACCAGTTTAGATAATCTTAGACTCGTTTACAGACTCTTAAGAAGGAAAATGAGATGGTATGAACAGAGAAAAAGAATAAGGAGGAAATGAGGAAGGTTTGGAGACGCATGCAAACAGAAATCAATGAAATGAAGGACTCACATGGACGTGGCAGAGCATTGCTCTTGTCTGTGGGTTCGGAGGACTTCTGATATAAGGAACCTTTGGGAGAGAGGGAGGGATGGAGGGTGAGGGATGGAAATCAAATTCAACACAATCGGATTGAACAAAATCAAACAAGCCAACAAAGACATGAGCGATGACGGCAGCCACGGCCGATTCTTCTCCATCTGGTGTCACTTTCACTCTCTCCTGGACTCCTTTGTTCCTGCAGACAAACGGCGCGCGAGCGAACACAACCATTCGTCAGCCGCGTTTTAGTGCTTCATTAGGACTAACGAGCCAGTGGGATGGATGGTTTTAAGCTGATAAACAGTCCTGGAGTCAATGAGTCAAAAGCACTCGCAGCCTCACATCTGACACATGAGGAATCAGCCTCTGCTGCACTCTGAGACGAGCTGGACGCTATTAGAGCACAGACGGCCTTAAATCTCACCCCCACTGACTCCAGGAGCCCGACGGGGCCTGGACACTCAAACGCATCTGCATATCGAGAGCCGCAGGGCTGCATTTCCATGAAACGCTTCGATGCTGCAGCTTTCTTTCCTGCATTTTCTACTGAAAAAGGAAGCTGAGTGAAACTGCATGAATGAAAAGACATTTTGGATGCAGACATCGTCACACGATGACACATCGGATGGGAGAGGCAGACGGGTAGATACGCTGAAAATCAATGTGCTGATGGATGGAGCGGTTATGTGCATGTGATCAGACGGGACAGAGAAACACAGAGACGCTGCGACCTGTGTGTCTTTCTGAAATCACTCTATGAATCTCACAAACACGTTCGGGTCACATTACAGCCCAAAATTAAGATGAAAACGAAATAAGTTATATTTTACATAAACATAATGAAAACTGATAGACGACCACTGACACATTATTTTCATGCCAAATTCTTACCACTGCAATGCATATATATATATATATATATATATATATATATAGGTTATTTAATTTATTTATTTATTATTGAAAATTAAAGGATATTTATAAAACATTAAAAAATATATATATTTTTTTGCATTAAACTAATGAGAATTTGGGAGAACTGCCATGAAAATAATGTCACAATGCCACAATGTCACAAATTTGATTCACATATTCATAATTTTGCATTTTCAATACAAGCTAAAATTATGTATAAATACTAACAAAACAACAAACAAATAATTGATCAGATTTGTTTTTCTTTCTTCATTTTACACAACAGAAATGGGGGGGTTGGGGGGGGAAGTCATGTAAATAATGTCAAAATGCACAAATATAAATATAATTCATAAATATAATTTTTTTATGTTCAGGTCACGCTGCAACCCAAAATAAAGATGAAAAATAAATTTATATTTTACATAAACACAGTGAAACCTGATTATTTTCATGTCAATAAATTCAGTTTTTGTTTTTTAATTAATAACAAAATAAATCACCCAAATAAACCAGACGAGGCGACCAAATCATCCAAACGGATGCCCGTGATTAAAAAAAAACAAAACCACCAAACCACCTTAGACTAGTTTAAGCTGTTAGCACTGAAAGACTCTATAAACAAACTCTTAAGTCCAATCAGTATAATCAAACACAGCTGGACTCAAATGAAGGTGTAGAACCATCTCAAGGATGATCAGAAGAAATGGACAGCACCTGAGTTAAATATATGAGTGTCACAGCAAAGGGTCTGAATACTTAGGACCATGTGATATTTCAGTTTTTCTTTTTTAATAAATCTGCAAAAATGTCAACAATTCTGTGTTTTTCTGTCAATATGGGGTGCTGTGTGTACATTAATGAGGAAAAAAATTTACTTTAATGATTTTAGCAAATGGCTGCAATATAACAAAGAGTGAAAAATTTAAGGGGGTCTGAATACTTTCCGTACCCACTGTATATATATATATACATATATATTATAAATATCTAATTTTGGGCTGTAATATGTGTGCCCCTGCAGCACAAAAGCAGTGTTAAGTCGCTGGGGGATATTTGTAGCAATAGCCAACAATACATTGTATGGGTCAAAATTATAGATGTTTCTTTTATGCCAAAAATCATTAGGATATTAAGTAAAGAGCATGTTCCATGAAGATATTTTGTAAATTTCCTACCGTAAATATATCAAAACTTAATGTTTGATTAGTAATATGCATTGCTAAGAACTTCATTTGGACAACTTTAAAGATGATTTTCTCAATATTTAGATTTTATTGCACCCTCAGATTCCAGATTTTCAAATAGTTGCATCTCAGCCAAATATTGTCCTCTCCTAACAAACCATACATCAATGGAAAGCTTATTTATTCAGCTTTCAGATGATACATGAATATCAATTTGGGAAAATTGACTGGTTTTGTGCTCCAGGGTCACATATGTGAATTTAAAAATGTTTTGTTTCAATTCAGCCTCAGTATATACTGAATACAGTGAATAAAACAGACTGTACCATGGTACACTGATGGTGTACTCTGATACATGCTAACATACTGAATGATTTCCATATAAATTTACCATGTTATTTAAATGCTACTCACAGAATACCATGCTGTTTTGTATTAGTGTTTTCTGCTTTCTTCATATGAAATGTAACGTGCCAATATTAGGGTTCATACTGCAAAAATCTGCACAAGATCCAGTTTTCTTGCAGAAGAAAAAGCCGGCGTTTGTCCTTGTGTTCGTCGTGCCCTTTCCACGGATCGATATGTCAAGAAAATGTCATCTGTCTGTGCCAAAGTAACCAAAGCCCTGAAAAGCAACATCATAAAGACAGACACAAACAGAGCGGACGAGCGCACGAGATTCAGCTAAAATACCAAAGGTTAAAACTATAGAGAATAACACTTCAAATTCAATCTGCACTGCAGCCGAAACACAATTTGAGCACTTTACAAACTCAAAAAGCAAATAACTTTCTAACTCGGACTGGAAGATGCCATTAGCACAGAGGAATCGTCCCATAAACGCTTCCTAACGGCATGAACCCGTGCTCCTGCTGGACGAGCTGAGTTCACGTATCAAGAGTAATTCATGTCCAATGATATCTGCAATAATGTGAGCTTTCAGATAATGTGGATTTCTGCTAAACGGCCAGTGAAGCCGTCATTAGCATGCACATAAGTGGTTTCACCCTTTTAGCTGGAGAAAGGGGGGAAAATCAATCAGGGGAAGTGAGCCTAAATCTATAACATTATGGGTTTTACATTCCTCACAAACTGGCCATTTATCTGAGCAGGACTAATGCTCCCACAATGCATTTCACCGGGAAAATAGGAAGATTCAAATGGCAGAGAAATGACTTCAGTATCTGAGATCACAGCCGTTCCTGAAAGCTCAGTTAGCAACTCAACAGACACACTACGTGGTAAAATACTACGCTTTAGGACACAGACCAGAGCAAAACCATGGTGTCTTATTGCTTTATAGCTCTTCCCATGATGTAGGGCTGGGCGATATAGCTGAAAAATGTATAGACGATATAATGCTTCATATCGTTCGGTATCGATAATTATTTGACATTTTTTATAACCCTTTTTAAAACAGAGCAATAGAATTTTTATTTTTTTAAACCACTGTATTTTTTAATTAACCCAATTTATTGAGACAAACAACAACTTTTTTGTTTGTTTTAACAGTCAAACACACAATAAAAATTTAACAAATATCTAATTTCTAATGTTTTATATGCAGATTAAATAGGTCTGAAGGAAACTTTTGTCGTGTCTCCCGAGGCCACAGGAGGGCGCAATGAGCAAAATAATGCAGCACATTTAAATCGTCAACGCAAGGAAATAACTGTCTATAAAACACATGCATTACGTCTAAATTAACTCATATAAATCAAACATAATTTAGTAAATTGCATAAACAATTATGGACAAAGCAGCATCGTGTATTTATGCAGTGCTTAATACAAAGAGCCGAATCGCCATCACACAGACTGCATATAAAACATATGAGACGCAATGAAAAGGAATAAACCTCCACAAATTCGTGACGTGTTTTCTAAAAGTTTAAACTGTTTTAACTTTGCATGGCTTTCTATACATCTCTTGTGTGAGACGTGAGAGCAGCAGTCATATTTGTCCGTCTAAAAACACGCTGAATATGCATTCTGTGTGAATGGCTTGGTTTGGGTTTTAACCCATTCAAGATCTTCTCCGCATCGAGCTTCTATATTTCTCGAATATTTTGAATGAATAACGCAGCAGCGGCTCGTCTCGTGGGCTAGACTGGCACTGCTGATGACGCTCCCTGACGCACTCCTAACATTCAAATGCAAATGTTTATTTTAAACTTGACTAATATTAATTTTTTTATTCACAATCTCCTCATCACAGGCAGGCGCAGGACTCAAGTCACTCATAGCACGTGCCTATATCGTGCGCTATATCAAACATTTGTTATATCATTATCGAAGGTGTACCGTCGATAAATATCGATACCGTTTTATCGCACAGGCCTACCATGATGCATTGAAATAAAGCTTGTAAAAATGAAGAAACATTTCTAAAGTCTAAAAACAGCCGTTTCAATATTGATAAGAAGAAATGTTTCAAATATATATATCAAATATATATATTCTTTATTTATTTTTTTATTTTTGCTCTCCATTACCCTAATGATAAACTTGAGGAAAATGTGTTTAATTGTCACAATGCAAAAATGTTATATTGATTGAAATTGAAAAATTATTGAAATAAAGAAACACTTCTAAAGTCTAAGAACAACTGTTTTCAACATTGATAATAATCAGAAATGTTTCTCGAGCAGCAGATCAGCATATTATACTGATTTCTGAAGATCATGTGACACTGAAGACTGGAGCAATGATGCTGAAAATACAGCTGCGCATCACAGAAATACATTACAGTTTAACACATATTCACATAGAAAACAGCTATTTTGAATTGTAATAATATTTCACAATTTTTACTGTTTTTACTGTATTTTTCATGAAGCAAATGCAGCCTTGGTGAGCAGAAAAATACTTTTCAAAAGCATTGTAAAAATTCTTAATTCCAAAATGTAGGTATATGAATATTGTAATCAATCCGTACCATGCTAAATACTAAAGTACCATGATATACCATCCCCGTACCACGGTATTACCACAGTCACTCTGTCTGCTATACAATAATTCAATAAAAATATAATGCATTCTAAATCTTCCCATGATGCATTGAAATGAAGCTTGCAAAAAACATCAGATGCATACAGATGGACAGACGATTCCTCTGAGCCTCTGATCAATACTCCGATTAACACTCGCTCATCATTTATACGCCAAAATGAAACTGGTAATTAGATTCCCGATTATCATTAACGACATCTGATTCAATCTGCTCCGCATCTCTGCGACCCCTGGCTATTTCATTTTCATGACCTAATCAAAATGAATATGAAACTCTACGTTTATTAAAGCAAACAGACGCTGTTTCTCCCTCAACAAACACATTTATTACTTTATGCTGCAGCCAGCCTGTGTTCTCGTTTTCAGAGAGAGAGAGAGAGAGAGAGAGAGAGAGAGAGAGAGAGAGAGAGAGAGAGAGGGAGAGAGAGAGA